AGAATGAAAGAGCAAACGACTGTGATGAAATTTGTCTGTCTGACTAGGCAGAGTGGTCTCCATAGGGTTGTTGTTGTTTTTTTAAATCTCCCAGCTATTAATTTCCCAGTGCAGTCCTTTTCTGTTTGGGTTTGCCTGTTGGGTGGCCATATTGCAAGAATAAACCGTGGGTTTGGCTTCCATAGTAAAGCCAGATTTATTATTTTCCTGGGTTTCTAGAGCTGTTTAATTGCTGGACTGACCTTTTCAAATGCATTTGCTGCTTGTTGGTGCATTATTTGTTGGTGCTTCTGTTTGATCGGTGGTAATTGATTCTTCTGTGTAGTCACTGAGCCAGATTTTCAAAAGAGTTCAGCATCTACAACTGAAGCCAGATTTTCAAGAGCTCAGCTGTCCTTTGGGCACCTCAATAAAAACCAGAGGTGAAATCCTGGCTCCCGCTAAATCACTGGCCAAACTCCCATTCGCTTCAGTGGAGCCAAGGTTTCGGCTCTGATTTTTCATTAGTGCTCAGCAGCCAGCAGCTCCTTGTGTGACACAGATGGCCAGATTTTTGTAAGAGCTAAGCACCCAGCATGCTGAGCTGTTTTGAAAATCTAGCACTTATTGTGGTGTCTAAATAGGAGCTGAAATCTTTAGAAAATCTAGCTGATTCAAGTCCTCCTCAGATGGGAAAGGACTTTGCTGGGAATGAATGGCCAGACAACACCACAGTTTAGAAGACAGTTTAATTTCTTACCTTTCTCACTCACTCCATTCTCCTTCTGTCTTCCTCCTCCTCTTTGATTTTTTTTGCATGTCTGATTTGAGATGCATGGATCATCAATATGGAGGTTTCCCAAGTTATTCTGTCATATTCTGCATATGTTAAATGCTGCATTTCTGAAGCTCTTCTATATATCTCTGATAATTTAATATTTTGACTCTAAAATCCCGAGTGCAATTTATCGTGTGACTCACTGGAACAGAGGGAAGATTGCTTAGAGAAGAGGGCATATGTGTGAAGTTCCTATTTTCTGTTAAATTCCTAGAGCTGTTCAAATATTAGAACTTCTGTCTCATGGAATTTCACAGAGCATCAACATTTATTAATGTCAATATTTTGTGAGATGGAACATTCTAAAAATGATTGTTTCAGAAAGGCCAAAACATTTCAGTTCAATATATTTGAGCCAAAGAAAATGTTTCAACATTCCCAAATCTAAACCATTTCCTTTCATTTTGACATTCATCTGTTGTCCTCCTGAGCATCCCTGGTGCCTCATTGACATTGCTATTTGGGTGCTTCATGTACCCATTCTTCTTTATGAGCTAGATTCCCCCCACCATGTGACATCTCTCATGACATACTGTGGTCTTATGACTTCCTTGACCGATCACAAAGAAGGGAGTCTGCAATACATCATTGAGATAATCTGAAATGAAGCATTTCCATTCGACAAACCAAGATGACGTGAACGAAAATTAAATATCTCATTATGATTTTCTCTGCACATAAAAAAGCAAAATCTAATTTTTGATCAAAATATTTTTGCAGAAACTGCATTTTCCAGTTAAAAATATTTTGTGGGAAAATTTCCACTCAACACTAAAAGTTTTAACAGCCCGTCATTCATTTCAGTGATGGGCACTTATGAGACTCTAAATCCTTATACCACAGTCTTCTAGACAATTTAACTTGGGATTTAGGTAAAGAAAAACTAAAATGTGTTTTCCCCCTCAGCTATTCAAGATCCAACCTTACAAATCCTTAGACAATGACCAGATTACATGTGCAATATAATTACATCAGTGGGCTTGTTAGCGACATAATTATTTTAAGATAATGATAGAACAACTGCAAATTCAGGTGTCTCAACTCCATTCCTTAATGCAGAGGTAATCTATTTGTGTCAAGATCCAAATTTCTTGATCAAGATATAGTCAAGGTTCAGGCTCCAGAGAAAATAATAATAATTACAAATGATAATAATGATAATAAGCAGTAAATAAAAATATTTTGGGGTTCATTCAAAAAGTGTCTGGTGGGCTAGATTTGGCCCACAATCTACCTAATGACTACCCTGGCCTTCAAATCTCATCTAGGCTATGTCTACACTACAAGTTTTCTTGGCAAAAAATATGCTAATGAGGGACTCATTTGTGTGAGTCTCAATCTCATTCGCATATTTTCTGCTATCCGTTTTTGTGCTAGGGTTTTTTGTGCAAAAACAAGCAGTATGGACATTTTCTTTTTGTGCAAAACCCCCTTTTTCCGCAAGATCGAGGGGCATAAGGATCTCATTAGCATATTTTTTGCCGAGAAAACTCGTAGTGTAGACGTGACCCTACACTACACATAACAGCTGTGGAGTAAGTAGCTGTGGGGATAATTGTACTGTAGTCAGGATCTTGCAGTTGTTACATTAATATGCCCTAATTCATATAAGTAGTCTAATTGACTTGAGTGGGATTGCATGCCTGGGCAAGGATTACTTGAGTGAGTAAAGATTTGCAGTGTTGGGTGCTTAGTATTTAGGAAAAGAGCTAAAAGCTCTGTAAGTAATGCGGGCTAAATTCAGATCTACTCATCTTACTCACATGTTTAAACATTACCCATGGGAGAGCTCCTACTGAAATCAGTGGGACTGCCTGCATGGGGAGGATTATGCATTGAAACAATATGATATGGTTCTTCCAGTGACTTGACTGAAATCAGTGTAGTTACTCAAGGGATGGATGTGGCCCTGTGCGTTGATTACATGAACAATTAGTGAATTATTGTTTATTCCTCTTTTCCCCTCATCGTTTGATTCATTCATTAGCTGTCATAAAGCGAGGGAAGTAGTTTTTGACATGTGTTGCTTTAGCAATCTATTTAAACCATAAAAAGGTGTTGCTGATGTAAATCAGAAATGTTAGACAGTTCCTGTCACTAGTAATTCAAAAGAGATAAGTAGTTGAGCTTTTAACATCCTGATATGGTAATAGCCTAGCAATGCACAATAGTGAGAATATATGTTTTATTCAAGGAATAGGTGACAGTATTGCTGATAATTCAAAATTATAAATCTGTCAGGCCATCATCCCAAATTCATGCCAATAAAACATTTATATCACAAAAAACAATTGTGTACTCTGTATACCAGTAATCAGTTTTTAGCCATAATTGGTGAAAGCTTTGTCATTGTCCTTAAAGGCTTTGGATGGTAAAATCCTCCTCTGAAGTTAAAAAGCAGGCATTGCTTGGAAAAACATGAGTCTCACAGTGAAATGGTAAGAGTCAGGAATTCAGTATCATGATATTGGTCCCTGATGCCCAGGCCCAGCTCAGAGCCATGTTAAACATCCCCTTGTTGTCTAATCATCAGCGAAGTGGCTTTAACAGTCTGCATGTGAATACATGAAATAAATTTGGCTGCTCACAAGGAGAAATAGAAGCCAAGACTGTGAGAACTTTGCCATCTATTCTCCTCAGTGAATTTCTAAAGGAATCAGGAGCCCTTTTGACATATTCATTGCCTCAGGAAGGGTGTGGGACACAATACACACACAGCGGTGTTGCAGCTCTTTTAATCGATAACCTGCTATTTTACAATGATGGAAATCTCCAAAATTCTTTGCTTATTTAATTTATTTAATAAAACAGATGAAAAATTAAATCATTTCCCTTTGGCTGTTATGCTGTGGAATAATATTCACCAACAAATTACAGAGACTTAATAAGCTTAACAAGCTGTGGGAACCTTATGAAACTTCTGTGTGTGCACATTCTGCTGTGTCAGTGGAGGACAATACACTTCTTGTTTTCTTTTCTCTGAAAATAAGAAGAGAGTCTGTAGGGATTGTATTGCTTAATATAGTGCACTATTTATTGCAATAAATTACAGTACTTAATTGCTATCAGTTAAAGGGCTTATGCATTTTACAGGGGTCTTGGATGACAGCCAGCTGTAAATATTTGAGAACTGATTCTGATACCTTTATTCATAGAGTAGCACAGTTCTCTGAGTAGACCAATTGAGCTAAGTGGGGTGACTCATAGTACAAATTGTTACTAAGTCTTAATACTGTACTCAGATCTATCTTATAGTATTTGAGAACTTGAGGCTTGATTTCTGAAGCCCTTACTTATGCTGAGTAATATTGACACAAGAAGACCTATTGAGCTCCATGAAACTGTTCTTGTAAGACTACTTGATTTAAGAGTTACACAATCAAGCCATTATAAGCCTGATCTAAAACCCCATTGAGGTCAATGGGAAGACTCTGGCTAACTTCAGAGAACTTTGGTTCAGGCCCTTAATGTGTTCCTTAATAGTGAAAAAGTTTTTAAATTAATTGTGCTCCACAAAGTAGTCAATCGTTTCAAATATACAATTCAGCTAAATTGATATGCATGTAATATGCATGCCCCGGATTTAGCAAAACACTCAAGTATGTGTTTATCTTTTAACACCTAAATCCATCTCTATTCAAGAAAACATTTAAGAAGTGATTCTCATTTACATTAAGGGCTCTTTAAGTCCCATTTTAACTGCTAACATGGTGTAAATTTTAAAAGATCCATAGTGTAGCTCAGAGAGAGTGAACTTAAGCACGTTTAAGTTCTTTGCTGAATTTCTGAGTCTCAAGTTAAGCTCTCTAAGTCATATTCATTCACCTCTTTATATATGCCCTTAGATTTTGGTTGCAGAATTTTGGAAACCACTCTTCAAACCACTTTAAAATATGAATTTTAAAAAGAATCAATAATAAAGGGTTCTAGAGAAGCTCTGTTTTTTGAAGAATTCTCAGTCTCTTTGAAGAAAAGCAAAGGGGAAATGTTGAACCACCTTGACAACTGTGTGTAACCCACTGAATTACTCTGTTCTAACAATTTACCATTTCCTCCCTTTCCATCAAACTTAAGGGCGTTTTCGACAACTGGAGGTCCTGGATCAGGTGACTAGTGCCTTCTCCTCTTTGCTGAATGGCGTTAACACCCAGCAGCAGAAACCAGAGGAGAGTAGTGGGGAAGAAAAGAGCATGATGGACATTCAGAGGAACAAAGCTAAGGCCACACGAGCAAAGCAGAGAAGGCTAGGTCAGCTCCTGAGAAAAGCTTCCAGACAGGCAACTGTTTGTCAAAGGAGCCCTCAGACGTCTGGAATTTTAGTGTCATTCAAGGATAGAGAAGAACCGTCTCCCACCTCTGCCGAGACGGACAGGTGCAGAACAATTAGGACATGCTTTTCAGAAAATAATACCTTGGTGGGTCTGGCAGAGGAACAGTCTTCCACTGAGGATGGTGCACTAACGTTATCCCAGCTGCCACAGGCTCCCATAGGGAAATCTCAGTTTTTGTCATATATGCCTATAGAGCAGCCCCAGCTTTCTTCTGCATCAGAGAGGGTTGTCAAAGACAGACCAAGGAAGGAGTCCAATTTGCTCTTGACCAACATGCTCAGAAGGGTGTCAGCTCTAAAGGGCAAGCCTCCAGATTCATTTGAAATGGAAGAGGTAAGTCAGGTATCAGTGTACTGTATAAGAGTGCATAAACAGATGATCAATACATGAATAGATCAGGCTCTTTTGGTTCAAGAGGAGAGCTAAAGTAAAATGTTTTCACTATGGAGAGACTCCAGAGCCCTTTCTTTGTGTGTTATAGGATGTTTAAGGGTTTCAATTTAGATTTAAATGGCTGTCAGAAAATTTGTCACTGGTGCTTAAAAAGCCATGATTGCAACAACAAGTATATGATCCAGCAGTTGTTCTTTAAGTTCTGCATCCTAAAAACAAGATCATTCGGCACACTGACTTGTCCTCTGAGCCACATTCCATGGAATGCCTCTAGTTCCCTGTCTGCTGTCAACACATATTAGGAGAGATGGAACGCTGATAAGGTCAGAGTGGCGCAGCACAACCTGGAGTGTTTGTCAGGCTGAGTGTTACATAAGAACAGTATACAACTGCAACAGTGGGAGCGTAGCTGCCTGTTCCCATTGTCACAGAAAGAAGTCCAGGAAGGCTACTGCCCCATGCTGGCAATACTAATATGATGCCCAGAGAAGCAGGCTTATCTTCCCAGCCACCCAAAGGCTGATGATAGGGGAAGAATGTCAACAATTAGGTCTCCCTGGAAACAAAGAAAATAGGGAGAGGATTAGCCACCACCCCCCTACAGAAATTTGAGAGGGAGGTGGCACGCCTACTCTATAGAAGATGACAGCAGCTTAAGGAGGATTTCTACATTGAAGAGATGTTCAAAAAAAGGTCATCATAGGAAGGAGTAGGATCCTGGACCCATGGAGAGGAGGCTGGTTCATCTAAGTACTGTTTCAAGATTTTATTTTGCTACAAGGATTTTTTTGTTCCAGCCCACATCCACCTTCAGTAGCTAAGAAAAATACTAAGCTCTGACTTCAAAATTGGGGTGATGTCTCTGCCTTGCTCATCACGTCTCCTATAGAAAAACATGTGACACACTTGTACCCTTCTGAGGGAGTGTGGCTCAGCACAGGGAATTAAAAGGGCCAAACTAGCTGCATACATTTTGATGAGCACCTAGTACAGTGGGGCACCATTTCATATATAGGAGGTTTTGAGTGCTACTACTACTACTACTATTACTACTACTATGTGGAGATTCAATTGAAATCAAAGATAGCTGTATGCAAAATCTAAGGTTGTTTGGTTATATCACTGAATATATTGTCTTCAAAGGGTTATGATATGGTTCTATTAGATTGTAAGATTCTTGGTTCAAGTTCTGTCTTTCTTCTGTATTTGCTCAGTGGGACCCTGGTCTACAAGGCTAGGTCTAGACTACAAAGAAAAATCAGAGAAAGATACGCAAATTGCAAACCACAATTTGAGTATCTTTTTCTACTTTTCTTTCGAAAATGGCTTTTCTGAAATTTGGTGCGTCTACATGGCACCAAACTTCAGAAAACCTGCTCTTTCAAGCCATCCTTTCTTCCTCGTAAAACGAGGTTTACAGGGATGGTGAAAGAATGTGTCTGCTTTTCTGAATTTTTTTCCTGAAAAGTGCACGTGTTCCTTGGATGCGGCATTGCGTTTCCGGGATCCCGGGAAAGTGCTGCAGTCTAGATGTAGCCTGACTGTTGTCCATAGACACTACCTCAATGTCAAAAATAATATGCTAGGGACATAGTAAGCTTCTGTAGGCAACACTTAAAAAAATGATGGTTTCTAAAGAGACCTGTGGAACATCACAATATTTCCCTTGTTACTGTGGGAAAGACACATGACCTTTCATTCTCTGAGCAAATTCTGGCCTTTCTTACATCTCATTGCAAGAATTTGGCCCTATGGGTCAGATTTATGCCACTGATTTTCTGAGGGGCATTTATTTGAGCTAGTTCCATGGCGAGAGCTTGAATGTATAGTACAGGAATAAAGGCCTTTGACAGTTAAATATGGGATTTGGAGGGTGACCAAGACTAGATCCTGGATTAAAATTCTAAAAAGTAATAAAAACAAGAGCCACAAAAAGAAGATTTGACATTTCAAATGAAATTTCTTAATTCTAAAAGGGGAATAGACTTGTAATAATAAATTAGCTGGTTTTTCTTTTTCTTTTTCTTTTTTCTGAATTAGATCCAAAGCTTTGAGGATGAAACTCCATGGGGAAATCCTCGTGATAGTACTTCAGGTGGGTAGTAACAAATAAAATGCAACTTTAAAAAAAGCCCAAACATTTAATTTTCTAATTTTCTCTATCTTGCACAATGCATCCTCTAACTGCTCCCATCTATGCAGTTTGGCCGCACAACTATAAATGTGCCAATCAAATGGGCATTTCACGTAGTAAAATAAGGTGGATTTCAGGTTTGCTCACAAAGTCAGAGGTGTTCTGTGTGTGTACCTGGAGATGTGCTCATATGCAATTCATTGCAGGTGTGAGGCCTGCATTAAGAGGTTAAAGGTTAAAGCACAAACGGCTGGATGGACAATAAAGTGAAAGTGTGTCTCCATGCTACAGAGGTGACTGTGGAATGCTGGAGAAGCAGGCTGTTCAGCCTTCAGAATAGGGAATGTCTTGCAGGATTCTCATGTTCCTCCCTCTAGCTAATCCTCAGAGCAGCAGTGAGAAACTCAGGAGCTGGAGAGAATCATGTGATTGTTCCCTGCCACTCTCAGGCTCAGAGAGAAAGGGATAAAAGGGAGAAATCCCAGTGGACCTTACCATATTGTAACAAAATTGTGTTAATGATTTAAATGCACAGAAAACTCCTTAATTAGCAAAAATCCATTTTTAATCACATAGATAAGTGGCCTGATATCCATAGATACTAATTGTCTGTACAGCCCATTGATATAAACAAGAATTGGCCTCTCCTAGGGTGACATCTTGGTGGCAGTATATAGCCAATATCACAAGTCACAATGACCACCGTGAGGACTCTCCAGTGCCAGCCTGAGCCTAAATATCTATCTGGAAATTAAACAATCTCACAGGGCGAGGTCTGCAAGCCTTAGGAAGCTGCCACAAGCCATATGTGTTTTAATGCAGTGTAGACACATCTTCATTGACTTCACTAGACTTTGGATCAGGTCCTCCTATTTGCTATTCATGGTGCGTTAGTCACCTCATGGTTAGTCATGGTATTGTTTTGTATCTGCTTCCTGAATGACAACTGAATCTTTATAGACAGAGACAGGCTCCCACACAAGTGTTGACAGAGAAGTGAACACAGCCAAATTAGAAACCAATTCAGGATTTGCTAAAATATTCACAAATAGAGTTCCCTACTATTTATCCAGCTCCTGTGACTTACTGTACCATGTAATGACCAAGGCTGCATCTAGACTGGCATGATTTTGTGTAAATACTTTTAACGGAAAAGTTTTTCCGTTAAAAGTATTTGCACAAGATAGCATCTATACTGGCATGTGCCTTTGCGCAAAAGATTTGCTTTTGCGTAAAAGCATCTGTGCCGGTGTAGACTCTCTCTTGCACAAGAAAGCTCCGATGGCCATTTTAGCCATCGGGCTTTCTTGCGCAAGAAATTAACGTGGCTGTCTACACTGGCCTTCTTGCACAAGAATACTTGCACAAGAGGGCTTATCCCTGAGTGGGAGCGTCGGAGTATTTGTGCAAGAACCACTGATTTTGTACATTACAAAGTCAGTGTTCTTGAGCAAATACTCGTGGCCAGTGTAGACAGGCAGCAAGATTTTGTGCAGAAGCGTCCGCTTTTGCGCAAAATCATGCCAGTCTAGTAGCAGCCCAATTGTATTAGTTGCTGCAGGTCACATAGTTATATTGTTCTTAGTATAAGTAAAGGAAAAACCAGGTACCTTGCATTCTGGTTTAACACAGAGAAATAAGTGTGTGCTGAATTGCCTTAGCCCCAACCCTTACACTTCCCAGGGGCCCTTTTAGGGAGAGGGAGATGAAGCCCCTCCAATTCATATGGGGACCTTGCTGGCTGTTCCCCTTCTTCAGGGAGCCAAGGGAAAGTACACAGTTTGCTGCATTCCTCACTCTTGCTAGGGAGTGTATGGGTAGATGAACCCGGACTTGACCCAGCTGAAGGATGTGAACCCTTCCCTGGCAGTGCTTGCTGGAGCTGCAACAACTCTGGAGGGAACCCAAGTTGCTGCAGAGAGTCAGGGTAGTCCTCTCTCCCCAGGGCATCCTGCTTACTGAACTCCTCATCTCCAGCCCCTCTCCAGAACAATGATTTAAATGAAGAAAAACAAAAATTAATTGAGTTAAGGACCCACGCAAATGGGATCTTATTTTGTAAAGTAGACAGCCATCTGCTGGCAAAAGCTTGCAACTCATCTGCTATATATTTGAAAGAGTAAGTAAAAAAAATTAATTGAGTTAAGGACTCGAACAACACCAGGTAAATCTAGTATCATATAAGGAAATAGTACATGTATTATATATTAATGTCTGTGACACAAGGTGGTGTTCCAAAATTGTATTTTTGCATGTGGTTTAAATTCTGATCTATTTCTCTGATTATTGACACTTGTATTACTGATACTTGTCTTAATTTCAAAAGAAGAAAATGTAGGGCCAGACCTCTAATATATTTAGGTACCTAACTCGGAACTGTCAATTCCACTGGAAGCAAGGTGTACCACTCAGTCTGAGTCCCCTTTTTGGATCTGGCCTTAAGGCCCCAATTCAGAAAAGCACTTCAGCATGTGCTTAACTTAAATTGAATAGTGATGGATTTACACGTATATTTAAAGTATGTCTTTAAATGAGTTCCAGGTCAGGGATATACTTAAAGCCACATGCTTAAGTGCTTTGCCAAATAGGACCATCATTATGGAAAATATCAGCCCAAAAAGTGAATGCTATGAAATTTAGAGGTGGATTATAATCTCTTTGGGGGGCAAGGAGTGCCAGTCATTGTGTTTGTATAGTATTTAGAATAATGGGAACCCTTTCTTGGTTGCCCAGCAGGAACCATTATAAGGAATATAAGTTACATGTATCTGGAAAGAGGCTGGAATGGAAGCTCTTCCACTGTGTTACCTCTAGGTATCACCGTGGAGGTGCTGAAGTAGGTGCTGAAGAAGCAGGGCTAAATAGCAACAGGGTGTTTGGCATAAATGGAGCATATTAGAAATGGGTGACTTATTGAAGTACTTGCCCTAATGGTCTTTTCCCTTGGCTCTGTAGCCTGGCCTCAATTTTAGTCCAATTGCTTAATTTTCTAGCTTCCCTAGGAAAGCCAATTCCCTGTCTGCTGTACATCTTCTTTATATTTCTCCATAATGTAGATTTTGGCTGTTTAAATGCAGCAGGCTTTATGATAAAGCTTTCTCCTTCTTCTTCTTTTCTTATTTGGCAGAAGGTTGAGACTTAATTTTAAAAGACACTCAAACCCCCAAACATCCCTGAATGACTTACAAGAAAAGCAGTGTTTTCAAGCTCTGTTTTTTTTAAAAATTACAATTTTTATTAGGCAATTTTATCATTGTTATAAATAAGTAATTGTACTGGGGAGAAGGGATAATCCTTATTTAATTAAATTCATCTATACTCCCAGGTTGGCAGCAACCAGACATATGTGAGACTAATACCCACAGCCTGCCTGTATGCATGTGCAATTAAAAATTCACTCTACAGTAGCACTGGCAGTTTAGTGTTGCTTTTGGCATTTACAAATTCTTTTATTTTGTGACTTTTTTTTTTCACCATACACATATGCTGGAGCAGATGTTGCTTATTTGTTGTTTATTCAAATCTGTAGGCTCTGGCAGCTAACTCCATTGTTCTGTAATGAAGCTTTATTCACTGTCCTGTATTAGGACCCAGCAAATGCATGACAGGCAGAGTTAGCTCCCAGCAGGAAGCTATAGTTATTGCTCTTACTTATTGGCTGTTTATATTCTAAAGCTCACAGTTGAGAAAGCTGGCTGGGCAGTGCAAAGCACTGGTGCTGTTGTGTTCTGAGGGAAATAACTCCACTGTCTCTTTGCCCTGATGAGGTGCAGGCTTGCATGTAAACTCATCTGTTGCAGGGATTTCATATTCAATATTTGAAAAGAGAGCTGTTCTCCCTCTCTACCCCCCATCGTTCCTTCCATTTTCAATTAGCGTTTATAAAGTATTGAGCTTAACTAAAGAATGTTTCTGTGTTGTTCATGCCTGTTAACTCAGCACGTGTCTGAAGATTCATTTGCAGCAACGTCTATTAGGGATGCAAGGGAATTGATGTTTATTTTTGTACAATATTGCATTTGTTCATTCCCACTACTTTCTTCTTTACTCATCAATGCCTTTTCCTGTTAGGGGAGCCATACTATTGCTATGCAAGGATTCCAGTGTAGTATTGACCAAGGAAGGACCTGCTGATCCCTGAAGGTTGTGTGCCAACATAAAGGCATTAGCCTGCTGGAGAACCTCTTTGTAGCTCGAGGGGCAATCAATCAGAGAAGTAACCACCTCCATCTGGCAAACTGTGACATGGAAACTCACTATTAGAGCATTTGTGATTCATCTTGTCCCAACTAAAGGTGCCAGGGAGCAAACTACATTCCGTCTTCACAGCAGCTGGGAACATTCTAGCTTCCCAGAATGCTAAACGGACACATAAGCTCTTGTGACTTATCAAATAGCAATTCTTTTAATTATCACACCTTCATTCCTCCCACCCACCAGTTCCACATACAGTGTGGCACCATGGGAATAGTTCCAGAATGCAATCAATATTTTTCTTAATTGGCTGTGTTCCAACAGTGTGAATCCTGTTTATTTGCCATTGTAACATGCATGGCATTGATTGGTTCATGCCACCAGACTCGTGGGAAAGGAATCCTCATTTCTTTCCATGTTTCAACTAACATCAGGATATTCCTGTTGCCTCTCATCATTTTTTTAATATTTAGCAAAATAGTAACAACCTAGAGCTAACTACCATAAGAAAGATTCCTTCTCACTAGCATAAGGAGGTAATAAGTTAACTCACTGTCCTGGTTACCACTGGAACTGTCACACCGTAACCATTTACACCATTTCCACTTTCTGAAAAGTCCTGAGAGGTCACCTTAGTGTAATCATGGTCTCTATCAGGTGGGGTGAAAGAAAAGGACATTTAGAGCATTGCTGATGGAATTCCAATGATGGGTCTTGTTGCCTATGACATAAAGGATCTGATTTTTCCACTGTTACATTGGTGTGAT